TTTACCAGATATTCGCCATTGAACAAAATGGGCAAAAATTGAAAAATATCACTTTTTAGCACTTTTAGTCTCATTTTTTGACCTTTTACTATTGGAAATTTTATTATTTTCTATTTTAATCTGATAGAGAATTTTCCAATCTTTCATAATCAGCGATTCGTTAGTTGCTATCTCTTTTAATTTAAAAGATATTAATTATCAAAAATCGTTGATAAAAGTTATCAAGCACCCCCCCTTGGCAATTTTTTTCTTAACTATTAAAATTTCATCACTCAGATTTCTGTTTTAACTAGCCCATCCTATAGAGAATAGTCTGTAGAATAAGACGCTGCGATCGGATCCTAATTATCTCTTTTAGTTTACGAGATATTCGCGATTGAATAAAATGGGCAAAAATTGAAAAATGTCACTTTTTAGCACTTTTAGTTGCGTTTTTGACCTTTCTCTGTTGGAAATATAATTATTTTATACTTTTATCTGATAGAGAATTTTCCAATCTTTTATAATCAGCAATTCGTTGGCTGCTATCTGTTTTAGTTTAAAAGATATTAATTATCAAAAAATCGTTGATAAAAATTATCAAGCTCCCCCCTTGGCAATTTTTTCTTAAGTATTAAAATTTTCTCTCAGATTTCCGTTTTAACTATCCTATCTTATAGAGAATTGTCCGTAAATTAAAACTCTGCGATTCGATCCTTTCTATCTCTTTTAGTTTACGAGATTGCACAAAGAAGAGACGAAGATAATTGGAAACACTGTATATTTGTGTTCTCTTATTCTCTCGCAGGCTAAACCATAGGGTTTAACGAATACGTTTGTCTCTTTTTGGTGTCATTTCATTAATTTTAAAATCGCCACGATTCTATATAAGTTTTTACTTCAATAAGAGCAGCGCTTAGCGCACATCATGTTTGTGCATAGATCGCTCAACCGGACGAACTGGACAAAACACGGAATGAATAAAAACGATTGGTATTGTCTCTAAAACTTTTTTTAGTTTTAATCTGATTCTATTGAAACCTGAAGTAAACTAAATTATTTCTAACTTGGATTGATGGATAATTTCCTTTATTTACTAGCCATTTTCTTCTACCTCGTAAAATAGTAATTCGTAGTTTTACTATTACTCAATTAGTTTTGCAAATGTTAAATAAATGTTAATGCACTTTGCAAGTTTACTTAATGTCATTGCATTCCGTTAAATACAGTGAACTTTCAATAAAACAAGCAGCGATACCCGAGAAAATCAACTTTGTAAACAATTATTTGCACTTTCATGCTAAAACAATTATATTCGAATAATATCCGTAGTGTTAATCTTGTAGAAAATCAACCGCAACATTTCACTTTCATGTCGATTAAAAATTCTGACAGTGAAAGCTTCACAAATATTTTAATTCAATTCCTAAAATATCAATCAACTGAAAAGGAAATGTGTGGTATTTTATTGCTAACAATAACTTTGCAGTAATTAGGCTAAAATAGAGATTAGAAGAAGAAAGTAAAGTAAAGTTTAGATAAAACCATTCCGAATTTTACTAATCATTAAAATTTCGTGAGAATATATGCGAATGGATAATTTATTGAAGGCAAAAGTTGCTCGACAAAATAATACGTGAATACAAACTCGTTTATCGGTGAGATTTTGTTTGTTTCTATTTATAGTTGTGAGTTGAGTTCGAAACCATGGCCTTGATTCTGATTTAGCATTCAAAATATAAAATGAGATCACTTGAAATGTGAAACTTGTTTCTTTTAAATTTTAGAGTTCAATCTGCATGTTCATTCAAACGTATACAATTTAGAATTTGGAATAAGTGTTCTAGAATTCACATGAACAATACTTGCTTAAATTTTCTCTAAAACTAAAAGTTTGTGTATGTTTCTTCAGAAATACGAGAAAACAACAAGAGAAACTTACATTCTGCAAGTAAAATAAAATCGTTCGTGGGTGTTGGTTTATTTTCGAAGTTTGCTCATTCGATTTAACATTTTCGTCATTGACATTTCGCAAATTTATTCAAAATTAATCTACCGTTACGAGCAATGTTGTAGCAAGTTGTTACAGAAACGTTGCGAATTTGTAATAAGTCATGATTCTTACATTCAATAGGCTTCACGGATTGAATAATTAATTGGTGCGTTATTGGTTCATTTTTTACTTGTATCATCCTGTTACTGATTTGGAAATTTAAATTTCTGTGCTATAACTTTAGCTATATTTCATACCAGATGTCGTCAGCAAATTGGCTGCCTATCTTATAAACTAATCTAAATATTAAACCTAACATAACCTATATAACCTTTTTTAAAGAAAATATTATTAATTCTTTTAAAAACTAAAATCTTTGTCCCATCGTACATAATATCATGTTTTTATGATCACAATGCGTTACATATTCAGCAATTTTTCAATTTTGTTCTCGTAGGTAATTTGAATACGCGTGGCAAGTTGCACGATTGCACGATATATCGCAACTTGCCATTCTTAACGTTCAAAACATTCATAGCGCTCCCAACATGTACAACATTACCAACTATGGTCCTCAAGCTCGAAGCTACACAAGTAATAGGATAAATATCAACAGCCGCACAAGATACGAATGTTGAACTGAATTATGCAAAGAACAAAACAGGTGAACTGTTAAAAATGCAATAATGCACAAAATTGGAAGCAAACAATATCTAGAATGAGAAATATTCAAATATACCTGTGTGTTTTTTTATGATACAGATAATTATGCGCGTATGGGAGGTGCATGAGAGAAAATTGAATGAAAAGTGAATAGAAATTGCACAAACCGTGGAATACTGCAATCGTGTATAGATTGTTGCTACTTATATTGACACTTCAATTGTCTTTATGCAAGTTATCGCATAGAATACACATGATATCATTTCGAAACTGTTTCTAAGTGTATATTGTTTGAGTTATAAAAGAAAATTCAATTTTAATTTATAACTAAATAAAGTAAAATGAAAAATTTGAAAAAATCAATGTTTGAGTTGCGGTACAAGTTACGAACGAGCTTTAAAATTAATAATATGCTAAATGCGTATAAATATAAACATTATCAAGTGTGTAATTTCGCTTGTAATATGACAGGAAACGGAAACGTTGCAGAAACCATTAGGATATCTATCGATATATTTGCAACAAAGTGAAACTGTATTTTTGTCGCTAATAATACCTATCCACCCATATAACTATTCTAAAAGCATGCCTATGATAAACGTGACTTTCAAATTATTGCAATGTTTTAATGTTATATAAAGGACAATAAGTTTCACTTTAACTTTTGTCGTGCGTAATATTTATTACTCTCAAATTATAGTCATACAAAATTTAAAATTATCAGGATATCGAATGAATAAATCAAAGTAACTACACATTTTCATGTAACTAATTTATAAGGAAACTTGAAAATGTCACTTCCTACAATTACTGAATAATTACAAACCAATACCTCCGCAATTTTTGTTTGGTATGTGCTTAGAAATAAACACAAAGTTATTGAACCGTGTCAGTCATTACCATATCATCCATATACATGTGTCTTGCACTTCTGCACGCATGTTTATTGCTAAATACTCGCGGCGTTAATTTATGACACGATGCTAGATTAATATATTGAAAAAGATACCTGTAGCCTTCGGCTCGCAGCGATGAATGTAAGTAGGTATGCAAGTCGAGTTTTGTCGTTCCAATTTTGCAACATCCAACATCCAACAAGTTGCAATTTGAAATTCAACTGGACTTGGATACTACTTCGAATACATAACATAGATAACTACATAACTTTACTACTGCATTAACTATTGAGATTAGCATACGGTAGATGTAAATAAACATATAGATACGTGTGGAAACAGTTTATCTTGGCATCTTTTTGCATCGTTTTCGCACTTTTTGAGTCTTATCCTATGCAATTTACATTTATGTGGTTTTATTAGTGTTGTGGGTATTATTTAAGCTTCATTGACTTTTGTTTTATTGCATTGGCGTTGAAATGAGTCTTTCACTTGCTTTTTTAGTGTGCATTTTATGTGGATGTGTGGTAATATAATTGCCGTTGCGGATTTATTGATTTAAGGTTAACAGGAAGTGTTAATGAGAAGTTATTGGCGTTATCGATCCAGTGCAATTATATGCATGCACTCAATAATAATCTTAATGTGGGTTGAACTGTAAATGTTAATTTATTACGATATGTCTGGTTTGAATTGAGTTTTTAACATTTTACTTTTATTCTTGTGGTTTTTACTCGTAAAATTTAAAGTAAAAGTCATAAAAATCATTTGATTGCAATCATTAATGTGAATTCAATTATTTTTTATTAAAATTAAGATGAACATTAACTTTTTGATCGAATAACGATCGTTAATTAACAATTTTGTGCATTTTTTAAGTTGAAATCATTAAAAAAAAATGATCTCACGCTATAATTCATGAATTAAAACGAGAAAATGATATAAATTAATTAATTATTTCGTAGTTCCGTCTCTTAATGCGTTTTTTGCTTCTCTAACGATGTTTTGCAGTACATAAATAAGTTTTAACATTATAAGAAGCATGGGAATAAATTAACTATGCCAATTTGCCTACAACTGATTCATAACAAGTCATAATTAAACAGCCTCGGGCGTTAATGTCACTTGATCGTTTTTTATGCAAAATATAACCAATATAACTAATGAAATGTAACATGTTGCGCTCGTGGTTGGTCTAGCTAGCAATCGAGCGAGGTTATTTGCCAACTTCAAGGTTTTCTCGGGCCTTCCTCGAGTCTCTTAATGTAAACTTGTAAAACTAGCTTCAACTTGCATGAATTGATTTGCAATACATATTTTACATGTGAATTATTCCAGCGTTTTGGAATGTGTTCCAATGCGTGTAATATTTGTTGTATTGTTTGTCATTTATTATGTTTATGGTAGACTGCTATTTTTGGAAAGGTATGCCACGAACTTTTGCCCTTTTTAACGAAACGAAAAATTACCTTGTGACGCAACGGAATCCGCCGCGAATCCAATAAGCGCGACCAGCTGCAGCAGCACGAGCGTGCGCGCGTATTTGAAGTAAATCCAACGATTCACGCATTTCCTAGTCAGCATCGTGAAGAACGCACATTTATTTTATACGCACATTTAGTTTTACACCACTGGACACTCAAAGAAAAAGGTATCACACGCGTAGATATCAATTATGCCATCACCGCCAAATGCAAGTCGCTAAATGTTACAAATAACGCCCACGACGCGCAGAAACCAGTAATGCAATTTGCATTTGAAACTTTCAAGAACTTGTTTTCTCACTTTGCGTTAAAGTCTCTCGATAATGTGAAACAAAAGCGTAGATAGGATACGTTGCGATCGCGAAGCGCGTCGAAGAACAATAACTTGTGGAGGTGCGCGCGAATTGTCGTTCGCGCACGACGGCTCGCAATAAAATGAAAGTTCTCCGGTGAGCTGTGCGAGCCGAAGAAGTCGCCGGCCAAGAAATCGCCGTGTGTGTGCTTGTGCTCGCGCGCTGCCACCTCTCAATAAAACAGCTTGCTGCGGGCCGGTGGGCCTTGTGGGCTTTTGGCTCTTCGGGAGCGCGCGCGCAATTCACGCACGAAAGGTGGAAAGGTAAACAGGTGACGGTCCCAGGCGGTCCACTCTAACACATGACGTCACCTGTACGCTTACCTGAAGAAGAATATATTTCGAACTGTTCTGAATGCTTTGTAAGTGAGCGAACGCACTTTTGAAACTTTTTGAAAGTTTTGGAAGTTTGATATAGGCAACTATATATACAGCAACAGTTTGTTGGAGCACTAGGCAATTTTGTTTACACAAATTAACAATTTGTTGTTTTAAACTAAATTAATTTAAATAAATGATAATATTTTTATTAAATTTCAATAAATAGCTATAGTTTTTTCTAATTTTTTAAAAATTATTTGACAGTTTGAACTAAACTGAAAGAATGAAGTAAAAATAACATAACCATATAAGTAGCACCCACGATTCCGGATACTCACCGCACAGAACGTGCACATTTTCTTAATTATCTCAAGAAATTCTAATAGATACATACCAAAATGTCTAACATGGGGACATTCCAACCAGTAAGTTAAACTTAATCCCAAAGAATACTTGCAAACATTGCTATAAATGTTACAGGAATCAGATGTGCATATCACATTTGAGGACCAACAGAAAATCAACAAATTCGCGCGATTAAACGCGAAACTAGAAGATATCAAAGAAGAATTAAAGATAAAAGAAGTAAATAATCATAAATTAATATATTTTTTACTTAAATCTAATGAATTTTAATCATTACTATTGTAGAATGACATGAAAAACTTTGAAGAAGCTAGTGAAGAGATTGAGCTTCTTGATGATGAAGAAAATATCCCATATTTAGTTGGAGAAGTATTTGTTTATCAAAATCTTGAAAAGACTAAGGTACAGTCTTGAATATTACTAGTTATACTTCAATTTATATTAAATTTTGAACCAAATTATAGGCATGTTTAGAGGAAGACAAGAAAGCAATTCAAGTTGAAATGGATCAATTAAAGGAAGAATCAAACAAAACAAGAGAAATAATGAGTGATTTAAAGTCACATTTGTATGGAAGGTTTGGCAGCCACATTAATTTGGAACCTGATGAATAATTTATATTAAAAATACATTTCTGCTGCATTTTCTCATTTATCACATTGCAACTGATCAATAATCACCTACATTGATAAAATTATAAATTAATAATTGTATTTTATGGCTTTATATGCACAATAAACACTGCAACCCAAAATTTTTTGTTCTAGTTAGTTGTCTAGGAAACCTTAACCTAACATTGCATCATCTATTTCAAAGTTGACTACACGTAAATATTTCTTAAAAACGGTATAAAAATGGTTTTCAAATGCCAAGAGGATAGTTTTTTGCAAGAAGTAACTTAATATCAATTATTATACATCATTTAATCTAATTGACACCTTATTTTTAAAGTTTTCAACAGAAGTTGTGTCTTGCACTCCAACAACCTTTGAAATTACTGAAAATGGTAAGAAATCTGCAACAACAGGATTTGAAGTCATTTGCAAGGATACTATTCTATTTCCTGAAGGTGGAGGACAGGTAAATACACATATTATTATCACAAGTAAATACATAATATATTTGTTTGGATATTGAATATGGTATAATTTTGATGCATAATTTCAATCAAATCAAATTCATTCTTGTTTAAATAGCCATTTGATGAAGGATTTCTTAATGAAATCAAAGTTCATCAAGTAATACGTAAAGCTGATCAAGCATTACACTTTGTTACTGATGAACTTAAACCTGGTGAAGTTGTTAAACAAAAAAATCAACTGGTTGAGAAGGTTTGACCATATGCAACAGCATTCTGGCCAACATTTACTCTCAGCTGTTATTGAAAGAGATTATGGTGTAAAGACAGCTTCTTGGTGGCTGGGTGATGAGATTTGTCATGTGGAATTAGAAACACCTGAATTGCAAGTTGAAAAGATTAAAAGTATTGAAGCAATTGTTAATGAGCACATCAGAGAAGGAAGAAATGTTTCTGTACAGGTTTACTGCGAAGATACACCTGAGGAATTATTAGCAGAAGTATAATGTTTAAATAATTTACATAATTTTGATCTTTAAAGCATAATTATTTAATTTTAAAGACAAGAAGTGTGAAAGGTTTACCAGATGATCACAAGGGAGATATTCGTGTAATTAACATCGACGGAATTGATAGTAACATGTGTTGCGGCACTCATGTGAATAATCTAAGTCAACTGCAAGCAATCAAGCTCTTTCACTCAGAGAAATCTAAGAGGAAAGGTCAATGCTTGCTGTATTTTGTTGTTGGAGGAAGAGTTTTGAAGAAGTTGGAAGAAGCAACTCAAAGAGAACAAAAAATTACGGCCTTATTAAAGTTAGTGCGCATTTTTTAGAATTATTCAAGTATATTCATCAATGTATTCATGATTTTAAGTAATGGACCGATGGAACACGTCGATTTAATCGATAAACTCAGAAAAACCTGAAAATTACTAACAAAAACCTTCAGAATGTACTTAAAGAAATTGCAGTGGTGGAAGCAAAGAAAATCAAAGATTCCCAAGCAAAGTATTATTGTCTACACAAAAAGGAAGCTGAACCTGATTTTATCAATAACGTTTTGCGTGAAGTTGGAAACAACGTTGATAAATTCTTATTTTTATCAACTGGTGATGAAAAGGGAGCTGGAAATATTGTTTTGTGTGGAGAAGAAGCAACTATTGCAGAACTGGGCAACAAGTAATATTTTAATTAATTTAGATCACAAAACTGGAAATAATTTATTGAATTTAATTTTTTAGGATTTGTGAGTTGCTAGGAGGTAAAGGCGCTGGGAAAGGTAAACGTTTCCAAGCTAAAGTTGCTAATCTTGGTAATAGAAAGAAAGTTGATGCTCTACTTCAAGATTATTTCAAAGGCTCATAATGTTGTTAACTAGTTTAAGAACTAGATAATTAACAAAAATTTGTATCACTTACACAAGTGTCATAGTTATAACACAATATTTATGAATTAACATGAATCAAAAAATTAATATAAAATAAATTAAAATAAATAGAAAACCATGAAAGTACTTCGAAAAAAAATATTATTTATTATTGTATTAACTTTATTTTATTTATGAACTTAGTGTGGGGTATGTTGTATTTTTGACATATTTCTCCAATTTTTGCACCTTTATTTATTTCATTTATCGCTTTTAACACATTTTTCTCCTTAGGTATAGTTAAAAAATGTTCTTTTCGGTGGCATTGTGTATAAAAAAATGTAGGTGGTCAGTTACTGGAATAAATCCGTGGTACAGATACTACCAGTAGTAAACCACTGGTCTACAACTGGAACATTGTGAATAATGGTATTCTTTTGTTATAATATCTTATTGCAACATAAAGTAAACCTAAATGTAAGAGAAAAAAGGTAATACCATTCTACATTGCACAGCTCAAATTAAAAACCAAGAACTCCAGGGTCATGCCTGCAGCTATTGAAATACTATTTAATTATTACTGTGCATAGTGTTTAATAAAGCACCAGATACAAATAATACAAACTTTCATTATGTTGCAAGAAAATTTATTTGCAAGCCATTACTGCCATAAATACAAAATTGTTAACTTCATAACTTGATGTCCACATAAAGTCTCCAGCAACAACTTATTTTAAGAACATTTGGAACTCCTGCAAATTAGATAATTAATATTGTTGTTTGCACTTGTTGCAGTCATGTTTTATACCTAATTTATCGTAGTCTTCTGGCTTCACGTTCAGACTCCAGCAAGGTTAGGATATCTCCCTCGCGAACGGGTCCCTTGACGTTGCGGATGATTTGTCGGTTCTGCTCTCCGATGAACTCCACTTTTACTTGCGTACATTGTCCCTGGGATCCAGTACGGCCCAAAACGCGGATAACGCGAGCCAAAACGACTGGTTTCTCCATGTTTTCTAATGAAAATTTACACGTGCTTAGACAACACGACTCTCGTGCAAGATGTCGGAGAGAAAAGGAACCAAAAAGAGAAACAACCACAGCCGGTGACAGCGTTTTGAAACATGCGCACTGGGTGCTTCCGCCATTGTAGCCAAACGCGCATATTTCAAAAATATTACTATAAAATCATTTAAAAACCAGTGATAAGTTGAATTAAAATAAGTTAACACAACTATCACCATGATTTTTAATATGCTGAACTAAAATATAACAATAATAGTTTTAAATTATTATAATTATTATATTTTTAGGTTTTGTTTTGTTACCAACAAAGAATTTCAGAATTCCCTAGTAACAGTCCATTGTATTTTTATTAGACAAGTTGAGACAAATGAAGAATGAAAAAGTGATCTATGTTTACGTTGTGGTTTGAGGCAGTTGCAACAATTTGCCAAAATGCCGAATTAGTACAAAAGTACGGTAGGATAGTCGATGTTTGTAGGATTATTAACGCCGGCCGTTTTAAATGAGTCATGGAAGCTGTTCTGGAGCCGGAGGATCCAGACACAGACCAACAAGTCACAGTGGAGGTGTTCCCAGACACTGTCGCCGAAATTATCTATTTATCCGATTATCAAATCATCAACGACACTGGTTCTCCGATTGTGGATAGTGAAGACACCTGTGACACTGAGTATGAGATTGGATCAGTTGATACCACCAAGTTTCCTGGATCTGACTTTGTTCTGGATGAGTCTGGGACTATTGTTTTGTTGCCTTCTGAAGAGTCTGACCCATTATCTGATCTATCAACAAATGTAAGCATATAATTTTATTACAGAAAGAACAATTTAATCACTTTGTTATTATATTTGAAAGAAAATTCATACCTTAGTGACTATTTTGCATTTAATGGAGTTTCTGATAAACAAAAACAAAAAAAAGTTTGAAAAATATGTATTTTATTGTTTTTTTACGTATTTTTATAAAATTTCTCATTATTAGTTTAGAAATACAGAAATTTTAACGTTTTGAACTTGAGAAGTTTCATTTTTAAATGGAAATCGTGAATTTTAATGAAATATTTAATTTCAGGATAACAGCAATGAATTACACAGTTGCTCTGAATGTAAATTCCAAACCGACTCGTTGGAAAAACTCGAATCTCACCAGTTGCTGCACGCTGAAGACCATCAGTGTGCTGATTGCCTGAAAACATTCTGCAGTTACGCACTGCTAACGAAACATATACGTGACGAACACACTGCTTTCATGTGCTTCGTCTGTAAGCTGGAAATAATCGGCTCGAAAGCGCATCGAACGCACTTGCGACAACACGAAACGCAGTGCGAATATTTGTGCTCCACCTGCAAGAAGGATTTCGCCAACGACGAGGAACTCATGCAACATATGAAGACTCACGGCGCCATTCTCCTCTACGCTTGCAATATTTGTGATGAAGCTTTCTCGAAGATGCCCGAGCTCAGCGCGCACCTGAAGCAGGCGCATCCTAAGTAACCTGTTTTATTACACTACATGTTTTTGTATAAATTTCTAGTCTAGTTTAGTGCAAAGCAAAGAGCAAGCCACGCGAAAAATCAAAATGATTGCAAATTCAGTTAAGATTAGCTATTTACTGATTATTTTTTGTAAGCAAGTACAAATGTTATATTATAGAGATTCTTTAATTTAAATCTAAGGAAAATTATGGACTTTGTTTGCAACTAAGTCAGCCAAGGGTGTTTTTGAAATGTTTATTTAAGATTTATTCTGGCATTTCTCCACCAGGCACCAACTGAAACAAGAAACAAAAAATGATATAATATACATAGAACTATATTTTATCAAGCACTTGCAGATTGAGATATTTGTGAGTGCTTTTTAAAAAATTTTAAGTATTCAGCCATAGACACTAAAAATATATAAATTAAACTTTACCATTGTGATATTATTGCCATTGAGTAAAATTTCATCTAGTTTGGTGACTCTTCTGCCTTCTGGTGTGTTTTCATACTCAATCACATCTTCTAACAACATGTTGACGAAATCATCGAAACCTAGTAGAGTTCCAACGATTTCTTTGTCGTTTTTCATGATGATGTGAATTCGTGAGCCGATACATTTATCCACCAATTCTGAAAAACATTTAATTCATGATATGAAAGTGTTTGTCATTTGTTTCAAATTGTAACCTCAAATTTTGCAAACTTACCGAGCGGCAGAAGTGTTGAAGAACTTATAGGCATAGTACTCATGATTATCGGTTAATAATTTGTACTTTAGGCTAAAGAACGTAATTTGTTGTAATAATACTGTGTTATTTCTTACTTAATTGTAAATTATGAAAAAACTAAGAACGTTTGCTTTTTGTTTTTCGTTTTGTGTTTAGGGATAGTTAGGTTGGTAGTTCTGAACATTTGTTGCTTCAACGCCAATAAGACAAAAGCAGTTTAGTCTTTTGCGCATTTAAGTCTATTATAAAACATAGTAGAATTAGAATTAGAAAAGCATACAATAATTATATAAATAACAAATAATACGATTTCTGAATTAAAGCTATGGTTGCGTCGCGCAGTGCTGCCAACCGAACCAATCTCTTCGTTTTCCGGAAGTATTCATTGACAATCAGCCGGTGTGAATGGACGAGTGCGCGACCGAAGCGTGCCGAACGGGTCGGCGTGCGTGTGCCGTTCGGAATGCGCAGAAATAAGTTATGCCCCTCAGTCCGTTTCGTGCACGGCAAGATGGAAGTCGCGCGCGGCGCGCTAGCTGTAAGTGAGTGTTAGATTATATTTTTTCAAATGACTAGGACGTAACTTTAAGTGAAGCTAGACGCGTAATCTCGTGACAATAATGCTCGTGCTGTGCGTTCATGTGGATTTTTAGTCATCGGCAGCGGCGCCCAGCTTTAGGTGAGTGATTTTTGTTTTGATTCACATCGCATCCAACGCCGAACAAAACAAACCGTCTGCGCCGCCGGAGAGTATTTTCGGTGCGAAATGCGTGTGCGGCGGGGCGGCGAAGGGCGATGTCGCATTCGTCATTGGTGAAATTTGTTTGCCGGCTGATCGGCGGCGGCGTCGGCGGCGCGCCGATGCCTTTGTGGGCGAAACCTAGGCGACGCAGGTTCATGCACATGATTTTCGGTCTGCGGACGCACGGCGAAAGCCGCATTCGATCCTCTGAGGCTGGTGCATGCAATTAGCATCCCGTTATTTTCAAACCCACAACACTCGAAAGAGAAAGAAGCCAGAATCAGGAATAACAATCTGTAGCATGTTGCAACAAACAACATATCTTCTAGTATTGGCCAACACCAAACTTTTATACAAGATTACTTGTCATTGAGTTATTTTATCAACTTCCAAAGATAAAAATACATCAAGAAATCTTATTTGTGTGGATTTTGCGCGTTATCAAAAATCCACCACAAATGTAAACAAAAACCAAAAAATATTCTAACAAAACATCCGCTGTGGTTTTGTTTTCTACGCGAGGAACTGCATGTATAATATATGAGATACATACAATGATAACGCACAAGAAGTGGGTGGACGAGGCCACCTCGGTGGAAATAAATCAAAGCGCACCTATTAATGGTCCAAACATGGGCCAACACATCACGTCCAGCTATGGCTTGTAAATTGCGCTGTGGATGACTTTCCGCATTGTCATTCTCCGGTTGCGTGATATTTATGATCAAATGGGAGTTGAGGGTTGAGGGTGGCGAATTGCTACAATAAATCTTGCAAAAATGATACGCGTCGACATGTGTGCGACAAAGAAATTCAATTTATCGCTGTCCAAGTTTTTCCGTGGGTCATTCCAAATTGTTGTTTGTATAACATCTTTATCATCATCACGTTCCAACAAAAAGTAGAAATTTGTTTGTGAATAATTAGTTTAGTAAATATGCCTAGCTAAAATTTAAAAACGTTGTGCTCTTATAATTTTATGTGTCGGTTTTAATTACCTCGCTGGTTATTCATAGTTTGTTTTTTAATAGACATCGTTTTGTTCTGTGTAGTAATCGAGACGATTAATTTCTTATTGATTTTGTGTTGAATCAATGATGAGTTAAAACCGCAGTGGTAGTAATTCTTCATGGGAAGTCATTTTCATTGAGATCTTCATTTATTTAAACTTGAATAACACGCGGTTGTTGTGTCCTTTGTGTGTTGAATCTGCACAATTGGCGATAGAAATTCTATCGGAAACAGAAGGCTCCAACTTCTTTATTTGAAGCATTGGCACATTGAAAGAGATAATGAACAAAAGCAGCGCAATCAATGGATGATTAATACTTTGGATTGCTTGCTTAGTCAAGTGATTCGAACGTCAAACTTTAATTCTCTCTTGTTGATAACTTGTTTTTGGTGTTGGTGAACGCTGAATATGTATCGGCTTTTGTTGAAATAATTGTGATTTGATATCGATTCATCATTCTATTCTAGAAGTGTCCCCCAACAGCCTTGAACCTTTATTTTTTCCTGTGAGAGTTTTCTAGTCGAGTGCTTTGTCCTTGGGGTTACCTTAACCTGCCCTCCGCGCGTCGTTAAATTGCTCCTCAAAGTGGAATTTATGAATTCGCAAACGCGCGTTTTGAATGTTTTTACGTTCGGATTCCGAGTAAGCGAATATAAATGTATCGCTAGTGTACTTATTGATCAATCGGGCGCTTTCGCAACTGGTTATGCCGCAATAAATTTTCCTTGGAAAATATTTTGATAGTCATGGTAGTTACGGCGCCCTTTACGTGGAACGCGAATGGTATATAAATAATTATAGTTATCAGGTAATTACGTGATAAAATTATTATTATTTTAGAAATACATTCTAAGTTAAATTGCATATTTAATTAAGTATTGAATTTGTTGATTACAATGACCAAAGTGGTCAAACGCGTATTTTTCTCATTTTTTCTGAAAATATTGGCAAATCTTCGAAACAGAAAAGCAACAAATTTATTTAACACTTAATTAACACCTAAATCTTATATTTTTTTATACTTAAAAGGATGTTTAAGATTAAACCTTTGATCCGACAAACACTCACATTTCCGTTTTTTCAAGTTTGCTTAGTTTTTTATTTATCGATAGTGAATTGACACCGTAATTGTTTCGTAATTAATGAGCCGAAGATAAGTTGTTTACACGATGTGCTCAAGTCGCTTACGGTTGTTGTGGTTGTTGTGCGTGCGTAAGTTGGCAAAGTGCGCGTCGTCGCGGAATTGATGAAATAAATTGTGCGCCGTTGTGTTTGCTCTTGCTCTGTGCGTGTTGCTGCTCTCAATTGGTTTAGCTTTTCGTTCATTTCGTCGGCGCGACGAGATGACTTGGGCTGAAGACGACGCAGCAGCAACAGCAGCAGAAGCAGACTTCACTTACTCAAGAGCTTGATTTAGGAGAGGTCAAGTAACTCGTCTTTTGGAACGTGCAACAATGTTTTCAGCAGAAAGAAATTCATCAATTGTAACAATTTCTATTTCCAACGAAAAACTAAAAAAGAACATGATTCGCCTGCGTGTTGCTTTTTTAATTTTAACTCTTCTGTTTTGATGTCGAATCGTGACTTTGTGACTAATTGTTTAAGTTTTTAGTTTTTTTTTTACTGATGACAAAGCACGTACGTTAACCGAATTTGTTTGATCTTTGTGTTCCAACCTTCGAAATCAGATTACAAACATTAGACACAATGTGTGGTGTAAAAAATGGACATGTGAGTCAAAAGAGCGCAATGTTGTGGTGCGCTGCGTGTGTCTAGCCGTCGCGTCGCTGTACGCGGTCTAGTACACATTGCGAGCGAGCGAGCAAATTGAATTTCCTCAAGTGCATTAAGTACATTGCACCGCGCGCGCATTAATTAACCAAGTTTTATGCAACGCGCAACACAACGCGCCGCGTATGCCAACGCGTGAGCTCTTTTATTAAACTTAATCTATACCGCGAAACGATGTGGACTTTTGTAGCTTGCCTTCATGCGGTCAGCTACAGTTGCACTTTATTTAACGCCATTTAACTTTAATACCTTTCGGTAGCAAATACTGTGTAATTTATGCAGCGAAAAATTGCAGTTGTAAGATTGCAGGATATTTTTAATTTATAATAACATATTTGAGCTAATTACCGCGAATTGTGATCTAAATATATTTTCGGTACATTGTTGTTGTTGGGTTTACATTGTTCAGAATGTTATTTTGCATGTTATCGACGTGGGTTGTGCCGCAATCCGGCGTAATGCACTTAATTAAGTGACAGTATTCAGGGCGGATTCATGCAGTCGCGCGAGCGTACATGGGATGATATTTCATGAATGCATGTAATGACCAATGGCAGGAATGTCCGGATGGCAGTGACGTGTGTGCATACTGCGCCATTCACACACAACCAACCGCATGCTGTCCAATTTTCACAATTTACAACCAAATTTAATTATGCCTGCACTCGTTTTTATTATTTTTTCACTCTCGCAGAAATAAAATTTTATTTGTAAAATTTAACTGCAATATTTTAGTTTAATTTTTTGTTTGTTTCTGAGTGTGGATAAAAGTTTGGCACGAAACTTAAAAACTTTGGACGTTTGGCATCGTTAACCAACGAAAGTTTAAACTTTTTAACGTGCCGGACACAGGAAATCAAGTCTATACGTAAAAAAAAAAACTATCATGTAAAAGTTTCAGTTCGTTTCGCGACGATGGCTTTGAAAGAAAAAAACGCGTGTTGAAACTGTCCGAAGCTTTGTGCTTAATTGATATTAATGTGCCGAAGTTATTTTCTTATTTTTTGGATGATACCTTCTGCTTAAATAAGAGATTATTAAATCTGAGATCATAAATCATGTCCGCATCAAATATTTATGCGCGTACGTCCGCGCTACATCCGTAGCAGTCGAGCGCTAATAAATGGCATTGAATAGAAAATTCATAGAATCATAGAATATGTCTATTAATATGCGTGCTACATACACATACGCATAAATATTTGCTTCTATTTGTGGCCTATATTTTAAACATTTTGTAAGCATCTGTTTGGTTTGTAAAATGTTTTTCGATAATACGAATTTCTACCACAACTATCGTTTAGCGTCACAAGTGTAAAATGGTCTTTTGAAATATTCAGGTATTCAGGTCTCCGGGTCTGAAGTTTGTGTCTGAAAAGGAGACAATGGATCTTTGGCGAGCAAAAAATAAAATGACTAAAGACCTAAAGAGGAAAAACTGGCCCGACAGGTAGGAGGTAGTTCGCCATGGTGGGCGCAGTAAAAATTTTGCAAGCGCCTACCCAAATCCGTCTAAACTTTTGCCACGTAAAGCCGAGTTTTATCAGAAAGTAATTCAACTTTTTGCATTCATTCTGCGGTGGAATAATTCGATATGACGCCGAAAACAGCGTGAAAAGCCCCGCAGATGCCACACGCGGTGATTTATAATCTGTTTTTATTTGAATTTATTTTATCGTGTCAGTATGCTTGCTAAAGAACAACTGTTTTCTGTTGGTAACCTTGAAATGAGCTTTTGGCTGAGACGCGCGCGCTGAAACAGATGTCTGATGCTCGTCGGCGCCATAATCGACGTAATCGCCACTTGAACAGCGATTAGATAGTTAATTTTTAAATTTTGAAATTAAAAAAAGCTAAAAGCGCAGACGGTGCCAATATTACCAACAGCAGATTGACTTGTGATGCGTATAAATTGCGTTTAAACGAAGTAATTATCTTGGCACTTGAGAGATATTTATTTTTATTTTGTTTCTGATTTCCTATTACTGCCGGATGGGCATTTTCCTTTTCCTCTTCATAATTTTAATTCTAACGATGTCATAATGACTCGTTTATGATTAAAATAGAGACGTCCGCTAATTATAAATTCACATTTTTTTTGTTATTTTTGTTTAAAAGTCTGCTGGGCACAGAG